ATGTGTCGGGATATCGAAATTAATATTGTATTTGTATGTCTTAGGTTTAACTAGTAGATATGATAAATTGTATTATACTGTGTAATAATATCTGTAACCCGATAACATTTGGTGTATGTGTTTCGGGGAAATGTCAATTAGTAATAATTTATTACATCTGTTAACTGTTTATAAATGTTATCTATAAAGATGGACATTCCATATTAGATATAAACCGATAAAGCATCTAACAATACCTTGGTAAGAAATCTGCATACATTTCCATTTTTAATTGAAAACAATAGTAAAATAATTATAAATTAATTGATTATGATATTTTAAAACTGTTGGATTTGAATATTAAACACATTAAATATTTAAACACCTATTTTTAATACATTTTTAATTTTTTACAAAATATCTATGTATTTTAATATTTATTTGTCCAAATACAATTAGTTTTCTTTTTTAATATTCAATTAGCTAGGTTAAGAATATATTTGAATTAATAATTATTAACAAATTATAACTACTAAGAACTAAGTTGGTATTATTTAAAATGTGTAATAAATCTAGTTAATTATACTTTTTTGGATTATGGTAATTAGTGATGGAGTGTTTCATTTCGACCCTCAAAAGGTATCCACAAATTTAGTAAATTTTTCAAACAAACGAATTGTTGCCAATATTAAATTAATTAATTGGATAAGAATACAATATAATTTAATTTCTTTGAAGTTGATGCACTGACATATCATTAAAATAGTAATATATATATTTTATTTTTACATCGATTCAAAATAACCTTAAAATACTAATCCAAACTCATTGGAGCTTAGAATTTTTAATTGATAGTTTTTTTTAATTGGGTATTCTCATTAAACGTCCATAATTTATGTGCCCCAGATATCCGAATCTAGACGTAAATTATTATTCCGACATTCTACAACTAAATTGTTTCAAATTTTAATATAAGTCATCGTTACTTTTCAATATTATTTTTGTGAATACACATTTCCTTTATTAATTTATTTCTATTTATTTTCCAAGAGAAAAAAAAAATACAATAATATCGCTAGATACATATACTTGAATTCACATGCCGGAGAATAATTTACAATTACATAGACATAATATAAATCTTACACGTATATTTCAAAAGCATTTTAATATCACAAATAATAAATATAAAACACCGCAAAAATATGAAAATTAAAATAAATAAAATATTAGAACCGGGTCTTCTCTGTATAGATTTTACACGTAACTGCAATCATATCGCTAACGAAAAACTAGTAAAATCTAAGCTATTGTTGAAATTTTATAGAAGATAAAAGGTTTATTTTATTTTTTTCCCAGTATGGATTAGAGCACATTAACTAACTTTCCAATGGTTTACTTTTTTTTTTTTTTTGCAGCGGCAGTAGATACAATGGCACTCTGTATCAGTACTCCAATGGTAAAAATCTTTTTGAAACATAAAATAACATTCGGTAGGATCATACGCTACTTGCGCTGCAATGTGTCACATACTTTATTTATTAAAACAATTTCGCCCGGTAATCAACAATACGCGTATAAAAAATAATAATGTTTCAGTGCTCGCAACATTTTGATATTCATGGATTATTTGCCAAGCTTATAGAAAATAAATTTAACTTTTATCGTTATTTTTTTTAAATTATTATTCAAATTAAAAATTATTACAGAAAGTCAAGTGTCAATCACTACAGTAGAAATGTCTACTCATTTTAGTTTTTAATATAACTTACAAAATATTACCTACTTTTTCAACTTATATTTTCTATGAATACTATGGTTTGGTTAATTTGTTAACTTGACGTTTACAATTGTTAAATTTTTATCGTACCGTGCCACTAGAATTAAACCATAAACTCCGTTAACCATGCATATTATAGTTTCGCGTTTCCTTGGTAGAAATATATATATATATATATATAGGTTCACGTGTTTTTCATATCAAAAACAATTTTTAAGAATTTTCCAGACGTGTTGGAATCACGGTAAGTGATTCGAAAACTTAAGCTGATATCTATCGCACAAATGAAATGTTTCGTACTTCACCATCAATTTGCCCACGATGACGCTCATAACCCACTACGTTATTTCATGCGTATAAGTACTCTATTTTGTGGATTATCCGTATTTTACTTACGCAATGATATGCACAACGATGCGTTCGAGCGTTTCTTTGATCGTCTGCTCCAAGGCTTTTACCTTATACAGGTATTCACTACGCTTATTTTATGCCCACCTAAACTTATAATTTTAACTCTATTCATAAAAATGACAAATATTTTAAACAAAATTTTCTCGTATAATATTTTTAAACCGAATTTTTCTGAAAATTTAAAATCTTGTAAGCTTTCTACACATTAATTCGTGCTGTTTATTTGTATTAATTGTTGCATTACACATATCGTCTACAACTCAAATATAGAGAAAATGGTCAAAAAAATTCTATAAATTAAATTAATTATCCAAGTTATATTTATTTTTTATGTCCAATATATAATTTTTAGCTAATTATGTCTAATTATGACTCTCTCCATTTTGTAATGATTATGAAAACATTAAATAAAAAAGGATTCGTAATAAGTTATTACCACTCAAAATATAATAGTGTTTTATTCATTCATAATCACTATATTGTATTGATTTTTATTATTTTAGTTGCCTACGCTAAATTAATGATATTACATTTTATATAAATAGTTATTTCAAATAAAAAAAAATTGTTATAATACTTTTCGTTTCATAATTGTTATACACACAATACAATTAGTCTTAAATACGTGAAAACCACTGAAACATGGATTTGACGCTCATTTCAAAAACCTCGTAGAGCAATAAAGAAGGTTGTTTTATTTGAAATTCTTGTTTTCATCAGAATTCTTCATTATTCTAGACTGGCGAATTTCTCCATTTCGTAACATTGGACAAATAACAATTAATCAAGTTGACAGGGGTGATTTTTATAAATATCGTTCTATACATCTTTGTAATTGTACAAGATTAGGCTTAGATGGAAGAGGTTAATCTTAGCGTTACAATTCGCTCTTTTCCTGATAACTAAAAACGGTTGAATGAATTCAAAGATAACAATAAACTATAATACACAATATCTACTGAAAAAGTATTTTTATATTTCATTTTGTCTAACATAACTTTGTCCTGACGCTTATTTAGATATTCATGTAATACACTGATTGTTAGTCTTCTGAAAAGTACTAGAATAATTGTATTTGGATAGTGAGTGGCATGCACCAAAAAAGTATTTAAAAAAAAACAAAAACAATCAGTGTATATTTCAATACAAAAAGAAAATGAAGATCTATGTAGAAAAATGATAATAGTCAAAAATATAAAATGTATAATAATTATATCATCTTGTCATTTATTTTAAAAAGAAAATTTAATTGTTTTAAATTAATTTTATAAAAAATTGGTTGTGTTAACACAGTAAATGTTTTTGAATGATATTTCGATCTTTTTCTCTTAGTTTTTTGAGTTTTGAAACTTTAAAATTGCATTACTAAAAAATGTAGGTATATGGCTTATTATCGTTTTTCCCCGTAGCCTTTCAAATATATTTGATTTATCATACATAAATATTTGATATACGTCAAATGAGTGTATTATATTACGATAAAGATTATGACAAAATATTGAGCAAGATTGTTCATCGAAGCCCCCGTAGTATATTAAAAATAAAATTTTAGAAAGAAAAAAACCGCTTTAGTTGGGAAAACCTATTTCTTTACACTCATTAATTAAAAACCACTTGCTTGGATAGGTATGAGTAAGATTCTTAAATTGTCATTATAACGAAAAAATCGATTAATTTATGTTTTTATATAAGGAGTGCCGAATTTTTAAAATTGGTTAATTAATTGAAAAATTGATTAATCAATTAACTGTGTATTATAATTATATTAAGTATTTTTATTAAATTTAGTCTAATATATATATATATATATATATATACCTAAATTGTTTAGGTATGAATGTATTTGAGTTTATGTTAACAAATGGTTACGTTTGAGTTTGGTTCACTCATATGCACGCTGTGTGCTGTGTTCTGTGTACTACAGCACTATAACTAAAGAACTATAACTGTTAAACCCATGCAAAAAATCGAATTATTGAAACAATCGAACAGCCCTAGATTATGAACTGCAGGCCAGTCATATTAAGTGTTACGGAGATGTAATGGGGATCACATAACTTTGTCGTTGTTGAGACTGGATGATTTAATTCGCCAGTGAAATGAACAATTCGAGGAATTCCATTCGAGTTTTCAATTCACTTAAACTCGACCAAATTGAATACGGCTTAGAAATGTTAATTCACTCCGTAGCTCCTGCTCGTGTGTATACGTATAGATTGCATTAAATGGTAACCACACTTTATATCCATATATTTCAAACTACTATTTTTAAATATAATTGAAAACAAATAGACTACACACACTCTCTCTCTCTCTCATACACACATACACACACACACACACACACACACACACACACACATGCAGAAACACATACAAACGAATCTACGAGAACAATTTCACGAAATATTTATGAACGGTAATTTGACACGAATATGTGATTAATACCTATACCTATCTCTGATCAGGTTTTTGTGCAGTTTACGAAAAAAATACATAATATTTTTATTTTTATTACTTCAACGGTAATTTCGTGCAAAATTTAATATCTAAATTGTTGGACTTTAAATTAAAATTTAACACCGCAATAAGGTCTCTAATATTATGACATGAGCATACACAGTATATTGTCAATACTCAAACGATTAGTTAACAATATTCTTAAATATTATCATCGTATGGTATTATCAGTACTTGTAGTTTGAATAATTTATGGACTGTGTTACCATAAACTTAACACATTTAAGTAATATTATTTTTCTATATTAATTTAATGTTCTAGCAGTCATAAATGTGTACTATAATGTATTATATATTGTTTTTTTTTCAGGTCACTTTGTGCTAGCCTGGAAAAAAGGAATAGCTATCCTTACTGCCGGGATAACTAAGGTGACACCGGAAGAACGTATACGGATCGTCGAAGGATACAATTTGGAGATTCGTAATGCTCAGATCAATGATGCTGGTAATTATATATGTCAAATCGGAACACTTGATCCAGTGGAACTTAAACATACATTGCAAATACTCAGTAAGTACAATCACTCTTTATACATACTATATATTACTCTACATACTGAGTTGAGAACATAAATAACAAACTAAATTAAAAAGGAAAAATAATATTTTCAATTTAATTAGTTTTCATAGGCAATTAGTGTTTTTTCTTTTATACTCGTACATGGATCGCTATAATAATTGTTTTATTATTAATCTGAGATAATACTTAAGTGATAAAAGTCTTTTAAATTTAACATTTTCTTGGTCCAAATTTTAAAAATAAAATATAAAACATTTTATAAATTTAGTCTTACTGCGTCGCATTAAATATATGATACATTATTATATATGTTTAAGTTAAACATTTTCAATTTTAAATGTTATAAAAAAATAAGAAAAAATGATTTATTTTACTTAAAAACCATATAACTATTTACAAAACTATATTCGAATCGGTGCGCGATACATGAGAGATAATCTATAGGGATGTTTTAAGACTCTTGTTATGGAAAGTTTTGGTAGTCACGCATATAAAAATCAAAAAAAAAATCAAACTAATTATTTTACTTACTCAGAAATCGAAATTTTCAATTTAAATAGTCCATCAATTGATATACCAATAATAAAATAAAATAATATTAAAACAATTGTAAGTTTCGAAATATCTCTATCTCGGTCATTAAATCTCACTAGCGTATTATTAAGGGATTATTCTGCAGTGACCCAGAGAAAAATATGAAAAGAAAATTTCCATCCATACCAATATCGAACATCTCATGGTATCATTGCGTATGCAATGGGGTGGATCGCCAAGGCAAAAGATCTCAGGCCAGCCATTGATCCATATGATCTTATTGGTGTCATTATCCAGCAATATCCGTATGCCCTAGGGATGGCAATTCGTGGCCGTGATCCCCGTTCAACTCATGAACTTCTTGCTATCTTTACGGAGTTTGAAGAATCTACGTATTTTTGTTAGCAAGTTGGTAATAGAAAATCGGAAAATACCCTCGAGCCATCTGGGGTCAGCAATTATCGAGGACGAAACCACAATGGGCGTGGACCACCATTTGTCGGTCATGATCAATGTAATAATCCCCAAAATGAATATGACCATGATAGACAACCGCAAGTGCCCCACAATAACAACAAAAGCGTTGCAGTCAACCAACTTCATGTGTCAGGAAATTACCACGAGGACCGAACGTGAATGCAGTTCACTTCGGTGCCCCAAATTCCAATGACTGTAACTCTAAATCTTTGACATCATATCCAACACAATTCAACTCTAATCTTCAAACAGAGCTCGATATATGTATTTTTAATTTGAATTTTAATGCTCTATTACAGGGGTGACCAAATCACGGCTCGCGAGCCGCATGCGACTTTTGTCACAGTCGTATGCGGCTCGCAGTCTTATTTGCAAAAACCAAAATATTTTCATTTTTTTTGTATACATTTATAAAAAAAATGTTTTTATTGTATTTATTTAAGGCTATAGTATTATAGTGTATAGAATATAGATTAAATAAAATAAAAAAAAATTAATTAATATGAATAATAAATTAAAAAATTAAACATTAAGCTAATTTTGTTTGCGTGGTACTTTTTCCGTGTCTACTTTTTTAGTAAGCTTCTTAAAATCTGATTGAATTGATGTAAGAGAGAGCAGTTCTTAGTAATTCTGTAAGATTAAATCAGTCATCAGTCAAATTTTAACGATATTTTGACTTAATTATTTTCATTGTTGAATAAAGTGATTCACGTGAATACGTCGTTCCAAAAATTGATATCAATTTTACCGCACAGTTTTTAATATTTGGGTATTTTAATATAGAAATATGCTTCCGAAATTCCAATATAGAGGGACAATTGTTTATAAACTGCTTAAGACCTTCATCTTCTAATAACTTCAAGAGTTCTATTTCGAGATCCGCTTTATTTGTGACGATAGGATGTGATAATGGACATCCCTTTTCAATGACATTAACTAAAAATGAATTTTCTAAGAATCCGAATAAGGGTTTTATAATAAATCTTAGACTACAAAAGTACAATCAACATCTGTTTCTAGAAATCGTTTTTCTCTTGGAGCAAAAAAAAAATTAAAAATTACTAATAAATGTTAAAAAAAAGTGAGAAATTGTATAAAATATATGTACTGAAAAACAATACACTAAAAAGCAAAAATAAATTATAATCGTATAGATTTACGGAAACTTGATATTCATAGTAAAATGAATTATGGTTGTGATAGTGAGTAACGTATTCGTTATGTATTCCTTTAGCATACCTACAGGACATAGTTAATTTACGACAAAGATTTTATATACACTATGCGGTGTAAATCTTTTATATGTATTGTAGAACAAGACATTTAATTGAATACAACATACAACTTAATTGGTCTCCGCAAGCCATTATAAAAAATAAAAACCAACATTTAATCAAACTTTTGATAATCCAATTGTTTAAATGACTATATCTACGAAATCGAACTTAAAAACGTATATCTTTAACAAGAAATTTAATTATGTTTTCTGCTATAGTAACAACTTATAACATCAGAACTAGACTATCTATTTAAATATTAAACTTTTAATTGACAATTTAAAATTATAATTAAATTTTATTCGTTTTTGGGGATCAGCCAGGAAAATATATAGAACTAAACTAAACTATTTTATTATTAAAAATAATCCGTTTAATATTTCATAACATTTGAATAAAATGATTCTGTTATGCAAAACAGTCTTTTTGGAATGGAACTAACTTAAACAAACATTAAAATTGTTTATTTAATATCAATGTCAAGCAAAAATTACTATTCAACTGATTTATTTCAAAACTGTTTTATATTCCTATTATTTGCATTCTAATAAACAAATAAAATATAATCAATTTCAATAAAAAAAAACTTTTTGTTGTGATATTCTTTACCCAACCGAACTTGTGTGATTCATATTTCGTTTTCAAATAACAGTAGTGTATAATACAGTGTAATAATATGGAATATGTATTTATTTTTAGCTATTAAGTACAATTAAGAACATGTATTGACCCTGTTAGTTCAAATAATCAAATGAATACGCTCTATAAACGTATATATTTATGTTCCTATTTATGAAAATAAAGTAAAAAGATAAAATAGTAATAACAATAATAATATGCTGTTCACCATTTGCACTCAAATACCCTTATGTGCCCTTAGTGAATCTGTTCTTTTGTCCACTTCTTCCATATATCTTAAGAGTTACATAATCCTCTTATTCTATCCATGAATGTTACCTTCATGCTGCTGCGACATCACATTAGAAGTACCTATAGCAAGTAAATTATTTTGATTCGGAAATTAAATTATATTACAATGATGAAAATTATCTTTTGTGACCAAAACTTTGGTATCGGAATAGATAAAAAAAAAAAAAAATAGGTTGAATAATATTGTTTTCTCGGTAGATATTTAAAAATAGTTAGCAAAAAAATTTACTCAAAATCATTTTTAAGGTGAAAATGAATCAATACTTTAAAATTAATTTTATACAAATAACATATCTAATCAAACAAAATTCAAACACTTTATCGAATTTTTTTTGCTTTTAAAATTACTCACTTAGACATAAGAACTTAGATTTCTTATAATTTACTGATCTTAAAACAATTTTAATTATACTGTTCTTTTTTTTTTTTTTTTTTATTTTAAATAAATTTCCCTAACCCGATAACTTCTACATATGAAATTGTTTATTTGGTCCCTTAAGATTCGAGTCATAGAAAGTGTATTTGTTTATTATTATATATATTTGCTTTTTTGTACATCAGATACGTAACCCATATACGAGTATATACTATGCAATACGACCAAACACAATTTTTTATGTATTATTCAATATTCGGTTGTCATTTTTACATTTACTTCTACTTTCGAGCATTGAAACGCGTTATAAAACTTTCAGAAAGACGTGGATTATTAGAGCGAGATAAGTGGGACAATAAAACAATAACCGTCTCCGAAGATAACTCTTGACGGCAAGATCTGTGATTGTTTCTAAAGTTTAACCATCAAATCTAAAACACTCGAATTGCAAAATAACAAAAAACAATTCTCATATATTTTCCTGAGATAGTCTCTATATGTAGATGAAAAATAGTTTATTACAAATCATGATACGATGTAATATTAAATAAATGTTTTGTACATTAAATTGCTTCAAAAATATTTATATTGGATATTGGTGTTATCATTGTTTATATAATATATGTATAAACTATCCTATTAATAAAATTATTAGCAGCTTTGTAGACACTACCTTTAGACGTCTCTGTATTCGTTTCCATCCAAGAATAATATCCGCACTGCCAGCATGATTAAAATTAGTTTTGATTGAAGAATTTTCAGACAAAAAATGTCATACATAATCCATTATTCATTTTTATCGTTTAACTAACTAAATTTTTTATCATAGTTATATAACAACATGAGTCCCGCTGCTATATTAGATTAAGAACATTTTTGATTTATGGCAATCTTCATGTGATATATAAATTTCTAAACATTTCAATATAAATATTATTTATTACTATTTATTTTATTTTACAAAAATGTAATTAATTAAATGACTCTCAAAAATGAATTTTAACTAAGCAGCAATTTTGTATTTTTAATATTATTGTAAGTGCCAAAATTTTATACATAATAAATACAAATTATGAAAGAAAAAATGAAAAATTTCAATTTCCTGTTTCGAAAATCCCACCACCAAAATAAGTTTTTATATAATTTTGAACAATTCGTCTACGTTTAGTTACAATTGAAATCAATTATACGATTCATCATTTTTCAGTAACAAGTAAAACGCTACACCCTCTATCGGAATCTTTCATTACTAACGTTATGTTTTCAAACTAACAGCCGAATAGTGAATCTATATTTTATAATAATATTAGATATTACTCCTTGGGTTTAAAGTATAAAACGCGTGGTCTTTTAAGAAAATAATAAGGGAATTGTGTTTAGAAAAATATTGAACG